GGGGCGTGTGTTTCCGCAGAGCGGGGATGACGAGGAGTACCAGCGCATCTACACCACGAAGATCAGGCCTCGGCTGAGGTCAGAGGATGGAGTGGAAGGCGAGCCTGGGGAGACCCAGAGCCGCACCATCACGGTGACTAGGAGGGTCACAGCCTACACCGTGGATGTGACAAGCCGCGAAGGAGCCAAGGACATCGACATCAGCGGCCCTGAGTTCAAGATCAAGATTCCACGGCACGAACTGACTGAAATCCCCACTGGGGATGTGGAGACCCAGCCTGGGAAGACAGTGATCAGACTGCCCTCGGGCTCGGGGGCACTGTCCCCCACCACAGGCTCCACTGTGGACATCCAAGCAGGGTCCATTTCCACTTCAGGACCAGAGCTCCAAGGTGCTGGCCACTCGAAGGTCCAGGTCACTGGGCCTGGGATAAAGGTGGGAAGCCCGGGTGTTAGTGTCAGTGCCAAAGGCTTGGACTTTGGTAGCAAAGGAGGGGTCCAAGTTCCAGGGGTGGACGTTTTGTCTTCTCTTGGGGGTGGGGCAGCAGAGTGGCAGGGCCCAGCTCTTGAGAGTGGCAATGATGGGAAAATTAAATTTCCCTCCATGAAGCTGCCAAAATTTGGTGTCTCAACAGGGCTTGAGGGTCAGGCCCCAGAGGCAGGGTTGAGTGTTTCTACCCCTGAATTCTCTGTGGGGCACAAAGGTGGCAAGCCAGGCTTGACCATTGGCAAGAACATCCAGACCCCTCAGCTAGAAGTCAGTGGTCCCTCTGCCAGTATTAAGGGGCTTGAGGGAAAGCTGAAGGGCCCCCAAATCACTGGGCCATCCATTGAGGGTGACCTGGACCTGAAAGGTACCAAGCCACAGGGGAGTTCAAGGGTGGACATCTCTGTGCCCCAAATCGAGGGCAGCATCACTGGCTCCAGGGTGGAAGTTCAGACTCCTAACATTGATATTCATGGGCCAGGGGGCAAACTGAATATGCCCAAGGTGAAGGCCCCCAAATTCTCTGTATCAGGTTCTAAGGGAGAGGGAGCTGGCATTGATGTGACACTTCCTGGGGTCTCTGGGGATGTTGGCCTGCCTGAGGTTGCTTCTGGGGGACTGGAAGGGAAGATGAAAGGTCCTAAAATCAAGACTCCTGAAATGATTGTTCAGACACCTAAAATCTCCATGCAGGATGTGGATCTGAGCCTCAGGTCCCCTAAACTGAAAGGAGACATTAGGGTTTCTGCTCCTGGGGTTCAAGGTGATGTTAAAGGCCCTCAAGTGGCAGTTAAAGGCGCCAAAGTGGACATAGAGACACCCAGCCTAGAGGGGACTGTGACTGGCCCCAAGTTTAGTGGTCCTTCTGGGAAAGAAGGAACCAGCAGGATCTCTATGGCAGACATAGACTCAAATGTGGCCGCACTAAAGGTGAAAGGGGGTGTGGATGTCATGCTTCCAAAAGTAGAGGGGAAAGTCAGTGTCCCCGAAGTTGATGTCAGAGGCCCCAAAGTGGATGTCAGTGCCCCAGATGTGGACATTCATGGTCCGGACTGGAACCTGAAAATGCCCAAGATGAAAATGCCCAAGTTCAGCACTCCAGGAGTTAAAGGGGAAGGGCCAGATGTAGATGTGAATCTCCCCAAAGGTGATGTCAGTATTTCAGGGCCCAAGGTCAGTGTGGAAGCCCCAAATGTCAACATAGGGGGCCTGGTGGGCAACCTTAAAGGCCCTGATGTTCAGCTGCCTGAAGTGAGTGTCAAGACACCAAAGATCACCATGCCTGATGTGGATTTGCATGTGAAAGGCCCAAAGGTAAAAGGAGAGTATGATGTAACAGCAACAAAACTTGAAGGAGAGCTGAGAGGCCCCAAAGTGGACATTGCTGCCCCTAATGTGGACGTTCATGGCCCAGACTGGCACCTGAAGATGCCCAAGATGAAAATGCCCAAATTCACTGTGCCAGGGTTCAAAGCAGAGGGCCCCGAAGTGAATGTAAACCTGCCTGAGCCTGATGTGGACATTTCTGGGCCCAAGGTAGATGTCTGTGCTCCAGATGTGAGTATTGAGGGACCAGAGGGGAAATTGAAAGGACCCAAGTTTAAGATGCCTGAGATGAATATCAAAGCCCCGAAGATCTCCATACCAGATGTGGACTTACATTTGAAAGGCCCTAGTGTAAAAGGAGAATATGATGTCACAGTGCCGAAGGTTGAAGGTGAGATTAAAGTTCCTGATGTTGAACTTAAAAGTGCCAAACTGGACATTGATGCTCCAGATGTGGACATTCACGGCCCAGACTGGCACCTGAAGATGCCCAAAATGAAAATGCCCAAGTTCAGCATGCCCGGCCTCAAAGCAGAGGTCCCAGAAGTGGATGTGAGCCTGCCCAAGACTGACATTGACATCGCTGGACCCAAGGTGGATGTTGAACTTCCAGATGTGAATATTGAAGGACCTGAAGGAAAGCTGAAGGGTCCCAAGTTTAAGATGCCTGAGGTGAATATCAAGGCCCCCAAGATCTCCATGCCTGATGTAGATTTGCATATGAAAGGTCCCAAGGTAAAAGGGGAATATGATGTTACAGTGCCAAAGCTGGAAGGGGACCTGAAGGGGCCAAAGGTAGACGTCAGTGCCCCAGATGTTGGAGTTCACAGTCCTGATTGGAACCTAAAGATGCCAAAGATGAAAATGCCCAGATTCACCAGGCCCAGCCTTAAAGGAGAGGGCCCAGAATTGGATGTGAGCCTGCCCAAGGCTGATGTGGACATTTCTGCACACAAGGTAGATATTAGTGCTCCAGATCTGAGCCTTGAAGGACCAGAAGGGAAGTTGAAAGGCCCTAAATTTAAGATGCCTGAGATGCACTTCAAAGCTCCCAAGATGACCCTGCCAGATGTTGACATGGATTTTAAAGGACCCAAAATGAAAGGGAATCTAGATATGTCTGCACCAAAAATAGAAGGTGAGATGAAAGCTCCACATGGGGACATCAAAGGTCCCAAAGTAGATGTTAAAGCACCAGATGTGGAAGTTCAGGATGCAGACTGGAGTCTGAAAATGCCCAAGATGAAAATGCCTAAATTCAGCATGCCAAGCTTCAAAGGCGAGGGCCCAGATGTGGACATGAAACAGCCCAGAGCTGACATTGATGTCTCAGGACCCAAGGTGGATATTGAAGTCCCAGATGTGAGCCTTGAGGGGCCAGAAGGAAAGCTTAAGGGTCCCAAGTTTAAGATGCCTGAGATGCACTTCAAGGCCCCCAAGATCTCCATGCCTGATGTAGACTTACACTTGAAAGGCCCCAAAGTCAAAGGGGATGTGGATGTGTCTGTGCCCAAGACAGAAGGTGAAATGAAAGTGCCAGATGTGGACATCAAAGGCCCCAAAGTGGATGTTGATGTCCCAGATGTGGACGTTCAAGGCCCCGACTGGCAGCTGAAGATGCCCAAGATGAAAATGCCCAAGTTCAGCATGCCCGGCTTCAAAGGAGAGGGCCCTGAAGTGGACGTGAACCCGCCCAAGGCTGACATTGATGTCTCAGGACCCAAGGTGGACATTGAAGCCCCAGATGTGAGCCTGGAGGGGCCGGAAGGGAAGCTCAAGGGTCCCAAGTTTAAGATGCCTGAGATGCACTTCAAGGCCCCCAAGATCTCCATGCCTGATGTAGACTTACACTTGAAAGGCCCGAAAGTGAAAGGGGATGTGGATGTGTCTGTGCCCAAGATAGAAGGTGAAAAGAAAGTGCCTGATGTGGACATCAAAGGCCCCAAAGTGGATGTTGATGTTCCAGATGTGGGCATTCAAGGCCCCGACTGGCACCTGAAGATGCCCAAGATGAAAATGCCCAAGTTCAGCATGCCTGGCTTCAGAGGAGAGGGCCCTGAAGTGGATGTGAACCTGCACAAGGCTGACATTGATGTCTCAGGACCCAAGGTGGACATTGAAGCCCCAGATGTGAACCTTGAGGGGCCAGAAGGAAAGCTTAAGGGTCCCAAGTTTAAGATGCCTGAGATGCACTTCAAGGCCCCCAAGATCTCCATGCCTGATGTAGACTTACACTTGAAAGGCCCCAAAGTCAAAGGGGATGTGGATGTGTCTGTGCCCAAGATAGAAGGTGAAATGAATGTGCCAGGTGTGGACATCAAAGGCCCCAGAGTGGATGTTGATGTCCCAGATGTGGATGTTCAAGGCCCCGACTGGCATGTGAAGATGCCCAAGATGAAAATGCCCAAGTTCAGCATGCCTGGCTTCAAAGGAGAGGGCCCTGAAGTGGATGTGAACCTGCCTAAAGCTGACATTGATGTCTCTGCACCCCAAGTTGAGACTGAAGCCCCAGATATGAGCCTTGAAGGTCCAGAAGGGAAGCTCAAGGGTCCTAAGTTTAAGATGCCTGAGATGCACTTCAAGCCTCCAAAGATCTCCATGCCAGACATTGATTTAAACCTGAAGAACCCCAACTTGAAAGGTGATGTGGATGTTTCTCTGCCCAAAGTTGAAGGGGGTCTGAAAGGGCCAGAGGTTGACATCAAAGGTCCCAAAGTGGACATTGATGTCCCCAACTTGGATGTTCATGGCCCAGACTGGCACCTGAAGATGCCCAAGATAAAAATGCCCAAGATCAGCATGCCCGGCTTCAAAGGAGAGAGCCCTGAAGTGGATGTGAACCTGCCTGAAGCTGACATTGATGTCTCAGGACCCAAGGTGGATGTTGAAGTTCCAAATGTGAATATTGAAGGTCCAGATGCAAAACTAAAAGGTTCTAAATTTAAGTTGCCAGAAATGAATATAAAGCCTCAGAAGATACCCATGCCTGATGTTAGTCTGCATTTGAAAGGCCATAAAATGAAAGGAGATTATGATGTTACGGTTCCAAAAGTAGAAGGAGAGATTAAAGTTCCTGACATTGACACTGAAGGTACAAAAGTAGACATTAACGCACCAGATTTGGGAGTTCATGGTCCAGACTGGCACCTGAAGATGCCCAAGATAAAAATGCCCAAGATCAGCATGCCTGGCTTCAAAGGAGAGGGCCCAGAAGTGGATGTGAACCTGCCCAAGGCTGACGTTGATGTCTCAGGACCCAAGGTGGACATTGATGTTCCAGATGTGAATATTGAAGGTCCAGAGGGGAAACTAAAGGGTCCCAAGTTCAAGATGCCAAGCATGCATATACAAACACACAAAATCTCTATGCCTGATGTTGGACTTAATCTGAAAGCCCCTAAACTGAAAACTGATGTAGATGTTTCTCTTCCCAAAGTGGAAGGAGACTTGAAAGGTTCTGGAATTGACATAAAAGCCCCTAAAATGGATGTGGATGTTGGTGATATAGATGTTGAATGTCCAGAAGGAAAGCTTAAGGGTCTCAAGTTTAAGATGCCTGAGATGCACTTCAGAGCCCCCAAGATCTCCATGCCTGATGTGGACTTAAACTTGAAAGGCCCCAAAGTCAAGGGGGATGTGGATGTGTCTGTGCCCAAGATAGAAGGTGAAATGAAAGTGCCGTATGTGGACATCAGAGGCCCCAAAGTGGACGTTGATGTCCCAGATGTGGACGTTCAAGGTCCCGACTGGCACCTGAAGATGCCCAAGGTGAAAATGCCCAAGTTCAGCATGCCTGGCTTCAAAGGAGAGGGCCCCGATGTAGATGTGAACCTACCAAAGGCTGACATTAATGTTTCTGGCCCCAAAGTGGACATTGATACTCCTGATTTGGATATTGAGGGGCCAGAAGGAAAATTAAAAGGTTCTAAATTTAAGATGCCTAAGTTGAATATCAAAGCTCCCAAGATATCCATGCCAGATGTGGACTTGAATTTGAAGGGACCCAAACTGAAAGGAGAGATGGATGCTTCTGTGCCAGAACTAGAAGGTGATCTCAAAGGTCCGCAAGTTGATATCAAAGGTCCTAGTGTGGATGTGGAGGTGCCTGACGTTGATCTGGAATGTCCTGATGCAAAGTTGAAAGGCCCTAAGTTTAAGATGCCAGACATGCACTTCAAAGCCCCCAAGATTTCCATGCCTGATGTAGACTTACACTTGAAAGGCCCCAAAGTCAAAGGGGATGTGGATGTGTCTGTGCCAAAATGGGAGGGAGATTTGAAAGGTCCCTGTGTGGATGTGGAGGTTCCTGATGTTGATCAGGAATGTCCTGATGCAAAGTTGAAAGGACCTAAGTTTAAGATGCCTGAGATACACTTCAAGGCCCCCAAGATCTCCATGCCAGATGTGGACTTACAAGTGAAAGGCCCCAAAGTCAAAGGGGATGTGGATGTGTCTGTGCCCAAGATAGAAGGTGAAATGAAAGTGCCAGATGTGGACATCAAAGGCGCCGAGTTGGACGTTGATGTCCCAGATGTGGACGACCAGGGCCCCGACTGGCATGTGAAGATGCCCAAGATGAAAATGCCTAAATTCAGCATGCCTGGCTTCAAAGGCCAAGGCCCAGATGTGGATGTGAACCTGCCCAAGGCTGACATTGATGTCTCAGGACCCAAGGTGGACACTGAAACCCCAGATGTGAGCCTGGAGGGGCCGGAAGGAAAGCTTAAGGGTCCCAAGTTTAAGATGCCTGAGATGCACTTCAAGGCCCCCAAGATCTCCATGCCTGATGTGGACTTAAACTTGAAAGGCCCCAAAGTCAAAGGGGATGTAGATGTGTCGGTACCCAAGATAGAAGGTGAAATGAAAGTGCCCGATGTGGACATCAAAGGCCCCAAAGTGGACGTTGATGTCCCAGATGTGGATGTTCAAGGCCCCGACTGGCACCTGAAGATGCCCAAGATGAAAATGCCCAAATTCAGCATGCCTGGCTTCAGAGGAGAGGGCCCTGAAATGGATGTGAACCTGCCCAAAGCTGACATAGATGTCTCAGGACCCAAGGTGGACATTGAAACCCCAGATGTGAGCCTGGAGGGTCCAGAAGGAAAGCTTAAGGGTCCCAAGTTTAGGATGCCTGAGATGCACTTCAAGGCCCCCAAGATCTCCATGCCTGATGTGGACTTACACTTGAAAGGCCCCAAAGTCAAAGGGGATGTGGATGTGTCTGTGCCCAAGATAGAAGGTGAAATGAATGTGCCAGGTGTGGACATCAAAGGCCCCAGAGTGGATGTTGATGTCCCAGATGTGGATGTTCAAGGCCCTGAGTGGCACCTGAAGATGCCCAAGATGAAAATGCCCAAGTTCAGCATGCCTGGCTTCAAAGGAGAGGGCCCAGAAGTGGATGTGAACCTGCCTAAAGCTGACATTGATGTCTCAGGACCCAAGGTGGACATTGAAGGCCCTGATGTTAACATTGAAGGACCTGAGGGAAAGTTGAAAGTTCCTAAGTTCAAGATGCCAGAGATGAACATCAAAGCCCCCAAGATCTCCATGCCTGACTTTGATTTGCACCTGAAAGGTCCTAAGGTGAAAGGAGATGTGGATGTTTCTCTGCCTAAGGTGGAAGGTGACCTAAAGGCCCCTGACGTTGACATCAAAGGCCCCAAAGTGGACATTGATGTTCCAGATGTGGACGTTCACGGCCCAGACTGGCACCCGAAGATGCCCAAGATAAAAATGCCCAAGATCAGCATGCCTGGCTTCAAAGCAGAGGGCCCAGAAGTGGATGTGAACCTGCCCAAGGCCAACATTGATGTGTCAGGACCCAAAGTGGACATTGAAGGCCCTGATGTTAACATTGAAGGACCAGAAGAAAAGTGGAAAAGTCCAAAGTTTAAAATGCCTGAAATGCATTTTAAGACTCCAAAGATACCCATGCCAGATATTGATCTTAATCTAACAGGTCCAAAGATGAAAGGAGATGTGGATATCACATGCCCCAAGGTAGAGCGAGATTTTAAAGGACCTGAAGTTGACCTCAAAGGACCCAAAGTGGACATTGATGTCCCTGATGTGGATGTTCAAGGCCCAGACTGGCACCTAAAGATGCCTAAGATGAAAATGCCCAAGTTCAGCATGCCTGGCTTCAAAGGAGAGGGCCCCGAAGTGGATGTGAACCTGCCGAAGGCCGACATTGATGCGTCAGGACCCAAAGTGGACATTGAAGGCCCTGATGTTAGCATTGAAGGGCCAGAAGGAAAGTTGATGGGTCCTAAGTTCAAGATGCCTGAGATGAACATCAAAGCCCCCAAGATCTCCATGCCCGACTTTGATTTGCACCTGAAAGGTCCTAAGGTGAAAGGAGATGTGGATGTTTCTGTGCCTAAGGTGGAAGGTGACCTAAAGTCCCCTGAAATTGACATCAAAGGCCCCAAAGTGGACATTGATGTCCCTGATGTGGATGTTCAAGGCCCAGACTGGCACATGAAGATGCCTAAGATGAAAATGCCCAAGTTCAGCATGCCCAGCTTCAAAGGAGAGGGCCCAGAAGTGGATGTGAATCTGCCCAAAGCTGACATTGATGTGTCAGGACCCATGGTGGACACTGAAGGCCCTGATGTTAATATTGAAGGACCAGAGGGAAAGTTGAAAGGTCCTAAGTTCAAGATGCCAGAGATGAATATCAAAGCCCCCAAGATCTCCATGCCTGACATTGATCTTAATCTGAAAGGCCCCAAAGTGAAGGGTGATGTGGATGTGTCTTTACCAAAAGTGGAAGGTGAGCTTAAAGTTCCTGAAGTTGACATCAAAGGCCCCAAAGTGGACGTTGATGTCCCAGATGTGGATGTTCAAGGCCCCGACTGGCACCTGAAGATGCCCAAGATAAAAATGCCCAAGATCAGCATGCCTGGCTTCAGAGGAGAGGGCCCAGAAGTGGATGTGAACCTGCCCAAGGCTGCCATAGGCATCTCAGGACCCAAGGTGGACATTGATGCCCCAGATGTGAATATTGAAGGTCCAGATGCAAAACTGAAGGGTCCCAAGTTCAAGATGCCAGAGATGAATATCAAAGCTCCTAAGATATCAATGCCAGATTTGGACCTTAATCTTAAAGACCCTAAAATGAAAGGAGAGGTGGATATTTCACTTCCAAATGTAGAAGGTGACTTGAAAGGGCCTTCTCTTGACATCAAAGGCCCGAAGATAGATGTAGATGTGCCAGATATTGATATTCATGGCCCAGAAGGCAAATTAAAAGGTCAAAAGCTGAAGATGCCTGATATGCATGTAAACATGCCCAAGATCTCCATGCCAGAAATTGACCTGAATTTGAAAGGCTCAAAACTTAAGGGAGATGTTGATGTTTCTGGACCCAAACTGGAAGGTGACATTAAAGTTCCCAAGTTAGATGTAAAGGGCCAGGAAGTGGACATTTCTGGTCCTAAGCTCAATATTGAAGGCAAGTCAAAGAAATCTCGTTTTAAACTTCCCAAATTTAATTTTTCAGGCTCCAAAGTTCAGACACCTGAGGTAGATGTCAAAGTCAAAAAGCCAGATATTGATGTAACAGGTCCAAAAATTGACATTAATGCTCCTGATATTGAGGTCCAAGGAAAAGTGAAAGGACCCAAGTTCAAAATGCCTTTCCTGAGTATTTCATCTCCTAAAGTGTCTATGCCTGATGTGGAGTTAAATCTGAAAGGTCCTAAAGTCAAAGGAGACTTAGATGTTGCAGGTCCTAATTTAGAAGGTGATTTTAAAGGACCCAAAGTGGACATTAAGGCACCAGAAGTTCATCTTGATGCACCTGATGTGGATGTTCATGGTCCAGAATGGAATTTGAAAATGCCCAAGATGAAAATGCCCAAGTTCAGTGTGCCCGGCTTAAAAGCAGAAGGGCCAGATATGGCTGTGGATCTGCCAAAAGGAGATATCAACATAGAGGGTCCCAGAATGGACATTGAGGGCCCAGAAATCAATGTGGAAGGTCTAGAGGGAGGCTTAAAAGGTTCCAAATTCAAGATGCCTGATATGAATATCAAAGCTCCCAAGGTCTCCATGCCTGATGTGGACTTACACTTGAAAGGCCCCAAAGTCAAAGGGGATGTGGATGTGTCTGTGCCCAAGATAGAAGGTGAAATGAACGTGCCAGGTGTGGACATCAGAGGGCCCAAAGTGGACGTTGATGTCCCAGATGTGGATGTTCAAGGCCCTGACTGGCACCTGAAGATGCCCAAGGTGAAAATGCCCAAGTTCAGCATGCCTGGCTTCAGAGGAGAGGGCCCCGAAGTGGATGTGGACCTGCCCAAAGCTGACATTGGTATTTCTGGCCCCAAAGTGGACATTGATGCCCCAGATGTGAGTATTGAAGGTCCAGATGCGAAACTGAAGGGCCCCAAATTCAAGATGCCAGAGATGAACATCAAAGCTCCCAAAATGTCCATGCCTGACCTTGACTTTAACCTGAAGGGCCCCAAACTAAAGGGTGATGTGGATGTGTCTTTGCCAAAAGTGGGAGGTGACCTCAAGGCCCCTGAGGTGGACATCAAGGGCCCCAAAGTGGACATTGAAACTCCTGATATTAACATTGAAGGCCCAGAGGGGAAATTGAAGGGGCCCAAATTCAAGATGCCAGAGATGCACCTGAAGGCGCCCAAGATCTCCATGCCTAACATTGATTTAAACCTGAAGGGGCCCAAGGTGAAGGGTGATATAGATGTTTCCCTTCCCAAGACTGAAGGAGATCTGAAAGGCCCTGAGATTGACATCGAAGGTCCCAAAGTGGACATTGATGTTCCAGATGTGGATGTTCAAGGCCCAGACTGGCACCTGAAAATGCCCAAGATAAAAATGCCCAAGATCAGCATGCCCGGCTTCAAAGGAGAGGGCCCTGAAGTGGATGTGAACCTCCCCAAGACCAACATTGATGTGTCAGGACCCAAGGTGGACATTGAAGGCCCTGATGTTAACATTGAAGGACCTGAGGGAAAGTTGAAGGGTCCTAAGTTCAAGATGCCAGAGATGAACATCAAAGCCCCCAAGATCTCCATGCCTGACTTTGATTTGCACCTGAAAGGTCCTAAAGTGAGAGGAGATGTGGATGTTTCTGTGCCTAAGGTGGAAGGTGACCTAAAGGCCCCTGACGTTGACCTCAAAGGCCCCAAAGTGGATATTGATGTCCCAGATGTGGACGTGCATGGCCCAGACTGGCACCCGAAGATGCCCAAGATAAAAATGCCCAAGATCAGCATGCCTGGCTTCAAAGGAGAGGGCCCAGAAGTGGATGTGAATCTGCCCAAGGATGACGTTGATGTCTCAGGACCCAAGGTGGATGTTGATATTCCAGATGTGGATATTGAAGGTCCAGATGTGAAACTGAAGGGCCCCAAGTTCAAGATGCCTGAGATGAACATCAAAGCCCCCAAGATCTCCATGCCTGACTTTGATTTGCACCTGAAAGGTCCTAAGGTGAAAGGAGATGTGGATGTTTCTCTGCCTAAGGTGGAAGGCGACCTAAAGGCCCCTGAAGTTGACATCAGAGGTCCCAAAGTGGACATTGATGTTCCAGATATGGACGTACACGGCCCAGATTGGCACCTGAAGATGCCCAAGATAAAAATGCCCAAGATCAGCATGCCCAGCTTCAAGGGAGAAGGCCCTGAAGTGGATGTGAACCTGCCCAAGGCTGACATTGATGTCTCAGGACCCAAGGTGGACATAGACACTCCTGACATTGATGTTCATGGTCCAGAAGGGAAACTGAAGGGCCCCAAGTTTAAAATGCCTGACCTGCACCTCAAGGCACCCAAGATCTCCATGCCTAACATTGACCTGAATCTGGAGGGCCCCAACGTAAAGGGTGATGTGGGTGTTACTCTGCCCAAAGTTGAAGGTGACCTCAAGGGCCCTGAAGTTGACGTCAGAGGTCCCAAAGTGGACATCGATGTCCCAGATGTGGACGTGCACGGCCCAGACTGGCACCTGAAGATGCCTAAGGTGAAAATGCCCAAGATCAACATGCCTGGCTTCAAAGGAGAGGGCCCAGAAGTGGATGTGAACCTGCCTAAAGCTGACATTGGTGTCTCAGGACCCAAGGTTGACATTGATGTTCCAGACGTGAATATAGAAGGTCCAGATGCGAAACTGAAGGGCCCCAAGTTCAAGATGCCAGAGGTGAACATCAGAGCTCCTAAGATCTCCATGCCTGGCATTGACTTAAACCTGAAAGGACCCAAAGTAAAGGGAGATGTGGATGTTTCCCTGCCTAAGATGGAAGGTGACCTCAAGGGCCCCGAAGTTGATGTCAAGGGCCCCAAAGTGGACATTGATGTCCCAGATGTGGACATTCACGGCCCAGACTGGCACCTGAAGATGCCTAAGGTGAAAATGCCCAAGTTCAGCATGCCTGGCTTCAAAGGAGAGGGCCCCAAAGTGGATGTGAACCTGCCTAAGGCTGACATTGACGTCTCAGGACCCAAGGTGGACGTTGATGTTCCAGATGTGAATATTGAAGGTCCAGATGCAAAACTGAAGGGCCCTAAATTCAAGATGCCGGAGATGAACATAAAAGCCCCTAAAATCTCCGTACCTGACCTTGACTTTAACCTGAAGGGCCCCAAAATGAAGGGTGATGTTGATATCTTTCTGCCCAAAGTTGAGGGTGATCTCAAGTCCCCTGAGGTGGACATCAAGAGCCCCAAACTGGACACTGACACTCCTGATATCAATATTGAAGGTCCAGATGGAAAACTGAAGGGGCCTAAATTTAAGATGCCAGAGATGAACATTAAAGCCCCCAAGATCTCCATGCCTGACTTTGACTTAAGTCTGAAAGGACCAAAGGTAAGGGGGGATGTGGACTTTTCACTGCCCAAGGTAGAAGGCGATCTGAAAGGGCCAGAGGTGAACATTGAAGGTCCTGAAGGGAAACTCAAAGGACCCAAATTTAAGATGCCTGATGTCCATTTTAAAACCCCACAAATCTCTATGAGTGACATTGATTTGAACTTGAAAGGACCTAAGATAAAAGGAGATTTGGACACTTCCATCCCTAAACTGGAAGGAGATCTGAAAGGCCCCAAAATAGATGTTAAAGGCCCTAAGCTGGACATAGACACTCCTGATTTTGACATTAATGGTCCAGAAGGGAAACTGAAGGGCCCCAAGTTTAAAATGCCTGACCTGCATCTCAAGGCGCCCAGGACCGGTGTGCCTGGCTTCAAAGGAGAGGGCCCTGAAGTGGATGTGACCCTGCCCAAGGCTGACATTGATGTCTCAGGACCCAAGGTGGACATTGATGTTCCAGATGTGGACATTGAAGGTCCAGATGTGAAACTGAAGGGCCCCAAGTTCAAGATGCCAGAGGTGAACATCAAAGCTCCTAAGATCTCCATGCCTGGCATTGACTTAAACCTGAAAGGACCCAAAGTAAAGGGAGATGTGGATGTTTCTCTGCCTAAGGTGGAAGGTGACCTCAAGGGCCCCGAAGTTGATGTCACGGGCCCCAAAGTGGACTTTGATGTCCCAGATGTGGACATTCACGGCCCAGACTGGCACCTGAAGATGCCTAAGGTGAAAATGCCCAAGTTCAGCATGCCTGGCTTCAAAGGAGAGGGCCCCGAAGTGGATGTGAACCTGCCTAAGGCTGACATTGACGTCTCAGGACCCAAGGTGGACGTTGATGTTCCAGATGTGAATATTGAAGGTCCAGATGCAAAACTGAAAGGCCCCAAGTTCAAGATGGCGGAGATAAATATCAAAGCTCCCAAAATCTCCGTGCCTGATGTCGACCTGGATTTGAAAGGATCCACAGGCAAAGGAGATTTCGATGTGTCTGTCCCTAAGATTGAAGGGACTTTCAAAGGCCCAAAAGTAGACCTTAAAGGTCCAGGTCTGGATCTTGAAGGTCCTGATGCCCAACTCAGTGGCCCACATTTGAAGATGCCCTCACTGGTTATATCTGCCCCTAAAGTAACTGCGCCTGATACTGATTTGCATCTCAAGGCACCCAAAATTGGAGTTTCCGGTCCCAAATTAGAAGGCGGTGAACTGGACCTCAAGGGACCCAAAGTTGATTTAGAAGCTCCAAGCTTAGATGTACACATGGAGAGCCCAGATATTAGCACTGAGGGGCCAGATGTGAAAATTCCCAAATTTAAGAAACCCAAGTTTGGGTTTGGGGCAAAAAGCCCCAAAGCTGACTTCAAATCACCTTCGCTTGATGTGACAGTTCCTGAGGCAGAGCTGAATGTTGAGGCTCCTGAAATTAGTGTTGGTGGCAAGGGCAAGAAAAGTAAGTTTAAAATGCCTAAAATTCACATGAGTGGTCCTAAAATTAAGGCCAAAAAACAAGGATTTGACCTGAATGCTCCTGGAGGTGAGATTGATGCCAGCCTCAAGTCTCCCGATGTAGATGTCAACGTTGCAGGGCCAGATGCCTCACTTAAAGTCGACGTGAAATCTCCCAAGACCAAGAAACCTATGTTTGGAAAAATGTACTTTCCAGATGTAGAATTTGACATTAAGTCACCTAAAATTAAAGCTGAACTTTCCCTCCCTGGCCCCAAAATGGGGGGTGAAATCCAGGCACCTGATCGGGATATTTCCTCACCAGAGATTAATGTGGAAGGTCCTGACATCAAACTGAAGGCTCCCAAGTTCAAGGTGCCAGGTGTGGATGTCTCAGGGCCAAAAATAGAGGGAGACTTGAAAGGCCCCAGGGTGCAGGCAAACTTGGATGCATCTGACATCAACATTGAAGGCCCAGATGCTAAAGTCAAAGCACCGTCATTCAGCATTGCTGCCCCTCAAGTCTCCATCCCTGATGTGAATGTTAACTTGAAAGGACCAAAGATAAAGGGTGATGTCCCCAGTGTGGGACTGGAAGGACCAGATGTAGATCTGCAAGGTCCAGAATCGAAAATTAAGTTCCCCAAGTTTTCGATGCCCAAGATCAGCGTCCCTGGTGTGAAGATGGAGGGTGGGGGAGCTGAGGTCCAGCTGCCCTCTCTAGAAGGAGGCTTGAGCGCACCAGATGTTAAGCTTGAAGGGCCCGATGTGTCTCTGAAAGGGCCAAAAATAGACTTGCCTTCAGTGAACCTCTCTGCGCCAAAAGTCTCTGGACCTGACCTTGACCTGAACTTGAAAGGACCAAGTTTGAAGGGAGGCTTGGATGTATCTGTTCCCAGCATGAAGGTGCATGCTCCTGGGCTTGACCTCAGAGGTGTCAGTGGAAAGGTGAAGGTGGAAGGTGATGGTGTGAAAGTGCCTGGAATTGATGACACAGCAATGCTTGATGTCGGTGCGCCAGATGTGACCCTGAAGGGACCAAGCCTGCAGGTAGACCTGGCTGTCTCTGGTGACATCAAGTGTCCTGAATTATCAGTAGGTGCTCCTGATCTAAGCTTGGAGGCACCTGAAGGTGGTATCAAACTTCCGAAGATGAAGCTGCCCCAGTTTGGCATCTGTGCTCCAGGGTCTGACTTGGACATCGGCGTCAAGGGGCCACAAGTTGCTGGAGAGCTAAAGGGGCCCGGCATAGATTTGAACCTCAGAGGCCTGAACCTGAAAGGGCCTCAGATCTCTGGCCCTCAAATCTCAGCACCAGATGTGGACTTGAACTTGGAAGGACCAAAAGCAAAAGGCAGCCTCGGGGCCAGTGGTGAGATGAAAGGCCCCACGGTTGGAGGAGGTCTTCCGGGCATCAGTGTTCAAGGCCTAGAAGGAAACCTCCAAATGCCTGGAATTAAGTCATCCATATGTGAGGTGGAGCTGCCAGGTGTGAATGTGAAACTCCCAACCGGGCATATTTCTGGTCCTGAAATCAAAGGTGATCTGAAAGGTTCAGGAATAGGTTTCCACGGGGCCTTTCCTGACATTGGCATGAAAGGGCCTTCCTTTAACCTGGCATCTCCTGAGTCAGATTTTGGTGTCAGCTTGAAAGGCCCGAAAATCAAAGGAGGCGTGGATGTTTCAGGGGGTGTCAGTGCCCCAGATATCAGCCTGGATGAGGGGCATGTGAGCGTCAAAAGTTCCGGGGGGGAGTGGAAAGGACCCCAGGTCTCCTCTGCTCTCAACCTGGATGCACCTAAGTTTGCTGGAGGACTTCATTTCTCAGGACCAAAGGTAGAAGGAGGTGTCAAAGGAGGCCAGATTGGACTTCAGGGTCCTGGGCTGAGCGTGTCTGGGCCTCAAGGTCACTTGGAAAGCGGATCTGGAAAAGTAACATTCCCCAAGATGAAGATCCCCAAGTTCACCTTCTCTGGCCATGAGCTGGTTGGCAGAGAAGTAGGGGTGGATATTAACTTCCCTAAAGCGGAGGCCAGTGTCCAGTCTGGTGCCGGAGAGGGCGAGTGGGAAGAGTCTGATGTAAAACTTAAAAAGTCCAAAATCAAAATGCCCAAGTTCAACTTTTCCAAACCTAAAGGGAAAGCTGGTGTCACCGGCTCACCGGAAGCCTCCATTTCAGGGTCCAAAGGTGACTTGAAGAGCTCCAAGGCCAGCCTAGGCTCTCTGGAAGGAGAGGCAGAAGTCGAAACATCATCGCCCAAAGGCAAATTCTCCTTATTCAAAAGTAAGAAGCCACAGCACCGCTCAAATTCCTTCAGTGAAGAAAGGGAGCATTCTATCCCTCCGGGAACTTTGGAGTTCGAAGGTGGGGAAGTGTCGCTGGAAGGCGGGAAAGTCAAAGGGAAACATGGGAAGCTGAAATTTGGTACCTTTGGTGGATTGGGGTCAAAGAGCAAAGGTCATTATGAGGTGACTGGGAGTGATGATGAGGCAGGCAAGTTACAGGGGAGCGGAGTGTCCTTGGCCTCTAAGAAGTCCCGACTGACATCTTCTAGCAGTGACAGTGGGACTAAAGTTGGCATCCAGCTTCCCGAGGTGGAGCTGGCAGTTTCCACAAAGAAAGAGTAGCAGGCCTCTGTGTGTGTGTACATATATGTATAAAAATACATCAGCCTTGGGTGTGTTTGTATATGAACTCCAAAGAGAAACACGCCACTGACAGCCTCAGCAGTAATGCAAACATCTGGCCTCTGGCAGGGGCAAGCGCTGAAAAGACAAGCGCCTTTAGGCTCCTCCTGGAGCTTTACAGATAGGTAAAGAGTTCTAAGTTCTTCGTTCAGCCCGTGTGCAAAGTCAACAGTATTTGCCTTAAGATTTCAGGTTTTCTTTTTTGCATTGAACGCTGAGAGCTCCTGTTTACTAAGCAAGCTTTTGTGTTTATTATCCTCATTTTTACTGAACATTGTTTAGTGTTGGGGTCATGGAAACCCACTTTTTCATTGTAATGACTTTTGGGGCTTATGTTAGTCAGGGTGGGGGGTGGAGAAGGCAGTAGAGGGGGGCCAGACCTTCATTTCTCCTACCGTCGGATCTACTCAAACAGGAAACACCCAAAGATGGCTGAGAGGAGCCGCCAGGCAGGGCATGTGGGTGTTTCTAGAGCTCTTTAGCGTTGCTTTTTCTTCCCCAGGGGTAGCGGTCCCAGCCCGTTTGGTGCTCACGGTGAGAGGGAATTTAGAATCTGTTTGCAAATTAGCCAACCCACCAACTCAACACGAGGGCCTTCCATTCTGTGTGTTGTAAGAGAAATGTTTTCTTTGTGATCACCACGTTCCTGATATTAATTCTGATTTCTTTTAACAAATGTTATCGTGATTAAGAAAATTTCCAGCACTTTAATGGCAAATTAATTGAGAATGTAAGAAAATTGATGCTGTCAAGGGCAAATAAAGCTGTTTATTAACCCGGATGTCCTGTGCCTTTTATATTCTGTAATGGGAGGATGAAGCCTAGGGAGGCTGCACATCCAGCCCTGACAGGTCAGACTGGGTCCACTCAGTGGCATTGCTAGTTGCATTAGTGGGTGATGGGAGGGATTCTTTGCTTCTCGATTCTCATGGTGAGGCTGGTTGCACCATTGCTGAGAAATCAAGAGAGGCTGGGCACACTGGCAGCCCGAGCCCCAGGACCTGCCCACCAATTTGGCATCCTCAGATAGGAATATACGATTCAGAAATGGTTCAGACATGAATGGAAGAAAAGGCCTATTGGAATGGCAGAAAGGGATCTGGCCGTGGGTCACAGGCCTGCCAGCTATTCCAAACTTGGCTGTAGGTTTTCTGGCTGGCCTCGTTACCTGCCCTTCTGGGCCTCAGTTTCCTCTTTGAAATAAGGGTGCTGATCTCGAATCACGTCTTTATGCTTCCTTCTAGTCCACGTGGGCGCTAAACTTTATGAAAAATCTCTTCTGACAGAAGTCCCCTCCCCCACCCCCTTTTTTCTGGCCTTCCCTTGAGGCGTGCAGGATCTTAGTTCCCCGACCAGGGATCGAACCCACGCCCCCTGCATTGGGAGCACGGAGTCTTAACCACTGGATCGCCAGGGAAGTCCGAAAGTCCCTTTTTGATTTACAGCTCTAGACAATACAGAGTGGGGGGACCTTCTAGAAACTGGCTTCTGATGTTGGTCATTGCTGGGCAGAGGGCAGCGCCTTCTTAGGCCAAAATGATCCAACCAAGCTCATCCCCCTTGCCATTCCCCGGAGTTGCTTCCTTTCTGCCAGTGGAAGCAGATCTGTACCTCTCCCATCAGCCCTGGAGCGGAGATACCAGCTCCAGCCCCCTCCTGCCCTCTCCAGAGCCAGCTTATCTGCGGGTCTCAGCGCAGAGTAGTGGGATCTCTTGCCCAGCGTGAAATCCACCTGCCCTTGCTTGGATTTCAGACGGGCCTTTGCCAGCTTCATCCACTCCTGCCTCAGCCAGCAGAGCCTGTGTCCCTGGGGGGTTTTGGAGCTCACGGGTGGCTCTTGGTTTTGGAAAGAGATAGGTAGCAAGGGAGGTGCCTGATCCCCTGTGGCTTTTTAAAAAATTTTTTTAAAATTTTATTTATTTATTGAAGTCTAGTTGATTTACAATGTCGTATTAGCTTCAGGAGTACAGCAAAGTGATTCGGTTTTATATAAATAAATAAATAAATATTCTTTTCCAGATTCTTTTCCCTTATAAATTATTACAAAATATTGACTATAGCTCCCTGTGTTATACAGTAGGTCCTTGTTGGTTATCTGTTTTATATATAGTAGTGTGTATCTGTTAATCCCATACTCCTAATTTATCCCTCCCACAGCCCCCGTGGCTTTTTAAAAGCTGATTTTGTGAATTGGGCAAGAGTTTCCTCACCCATAAAATAGGGGTAGCGTCCACAGGACCAGAGTCTGTCTGTTCAGGTATTTGGGTTGTCTGCTGTGCAGGGGCATCGCATTTAAGGGTATAGCATTCATGTCACAGCCATGTTTGTTTATTGAGAGCATGAGGGTGGGCATGGAGTCCTAGAGAGGTGGGTGTGAGCCCCTGCACACACACTGAAAAGCTAGAGTGTGCACACGCCCACTGGCACACGTGCCTACACGCAGCTGCCTTCCGTCCTAACCAGGTCTGGGCATCCCACAAGTGTGCTTCTTTCAACCACGGCTCAAATCCCAGTTCTCCGTTCTGAAGCTGATGAGTGTGGAGTGGGACAGAGTGTGCAGATGTGTGGTCCTGGCGTCTGGAGGTGTGATAAGTGGGTGACAGTGCAGTGCAATTGTGTACACAGCCAGGGGGATGCCCACTGGGACGCTGGAAAGATCTCCCAGGCAGAACTACCCAGGTTGTCCAATAATATGGCAATTAAAAAATTTTTTCTTTAGCTTGAGGAAGGGGTGATGTACACTAGTGCGGCCCTCAGCGTCCATTCATTCAACAAGTACTTTTAGAGCATCACGTGGTTAGATGCTGTCCCTGCCCCCCTGGTCTCAGAATCCTCCTCTCCTGACCTCCACAGACCAAATGAGGTGATGGGTGTGGGACACTGGAACACTGGAAATACACACGTGTAAGTGACGCTTCTACCAGGGATGATGAAGATGATGGTCATGTTTCCTGGACTCTCAGGGTGAGATCTCATTGGCTGGGACAGTCAGGGGTAGTGGGTCAGATGGATCAGGAACATGGCAACGGGCCGTTCAAATGTGAGAAACTTCCCAGCTGCCCTCCTCCCACATCAGGCCCAGGCTGGAGGCAGTGACCACAGGACAGGAGCCCTCCCTGCTGCAGTGACTGTTACCACTGGAAGGGGGAACATGGAGGAGGTGCCAGGGGGTGGAGACGCATGTGGAGGGCCCATCCCAGCGAGATTTCCTTCGCTTGTTCTGCCCACCCACTCTCAGTAACCCCCTTCCTCCGTTCTTCCCGACGCCTTCTCACCGCCTACCTGATGGGGATGGTCCAAGTTATTCCCCAAAGTCCTGCAGGGCCCAGATTCAGGAGGTCTTAATACTCTGAGGTCCCAGTTCCTGCATTTGAGGGCGGGAGTGGTCTCAGGAGACCTGGAGGGGGCTGGGCTGGGCTCCTCTGGGTCCTTCCTTGGAGTTCCAGCACGGAGCCACAGCAGGGCCTGCAGCCTGACAGTGCACCTTGCTTTAAGCAGTGTGACTGACGGTGGGCGTGGCTAAGGGGACATTTGGCAAATTCGATTCTTTTTTTTTTTTTTACTTCTTTTGGCCACACCCCACGGCATGTGAGATCTTAGCTCCCCGACCAGGGATCGAACCCCAGCCCCCTGCATTGGGAGCGCAGAGTCTTAACCACTGGACCGCCAGGGAAGTCCCCAATTCAATTATGTTGAAATGCACCCCATGCTCACAAAAGGCAGTGTATGTTTTTCACCAACTCAAACTCATTTCTGTACGTGTCAGGGCCCCTACAGGAAACGTTCATGAAGACAACTCAGCCACAGAGAATTTAATGGTGGTTGTTTGTGCAGTAGGTGGGCCAGGACCAAGCAGCCAACAAGGGGTGGTGAGACCCCCAGGGACAGCGGGAGGCTGGTGCTACCCCTGGGCCTGAAGGGGCCTGGGAAGGGATGGTATTCCTGGAATCTAGCCATGAGCGGCCACAGCATCTGCCAGAACTGCCCCTGCCATGCGAAGCAGGAATAAGCACCCTGACCTTTCCTTCTGCTGGTGCCTTGCGCTGGAGGGCAAGTGAGCCCAGGTCTTTTTAAAAAAAAAAAAAAATTTATTTATTTGGTTGTGCCGGGTCTTAGCTGCGGTAGGCGGGCTCCTTAGTTGCAGCATGTGAACTTAGTTGCGGCATGCATGTTGGCTCTAGTTCCCTGACCAGGGGTCGAACACGGGCCCCCTGCATTCTAAGTCTTACTTACTGCGCCACCGGGGAAGTCCCGAGCCCAGAACTTGCGGGTAGAGGGATCGGCCTTCCGGAGGCACAGAGCAGGGCAGAGAAGCAGGGAGAAGGGGTCTCAGGGTGGATGGTGAGATAGAGAACGACCAGGACCATGCCCTCATACTCATTTTTCTGTTTGGCAAGTGTGACTTTCTATGTATTGAGGTTTCTTAAAATAGCCCACAGTTATGTGGGATGTATCTAAGGTATGATCATAAAGTAATATGACAATTTTTGTTTTAAACAAACACAGGAGGTGCTACACTTACTGCTGTGAAAATTTTACTGTTAAGAATATTTTTGTCCCCTGTCTTTTGGAACTGCTGTCAACATCACTTGTGCATTAAAAAAACGTAACAATTTCCTTGGGGAAGCACGAATCGTCCTCTCTTGAGGCCTGCAAATAGCCAAAGGGCCTGGAAGATCCTCCAGGGTTCCCAGCACAAAACCCTGAAAAGACCACCAGCCTGGGAGTCAGTGGGATTCTCCATGACCCTGAACAAGTGAAGGCCCCTCTTTGAGCCTCGGTTTACTCATTTGTAACATGGATAAGGCATGCATTCTCTAAGGCCCTTGCCAGTTCCAATAGTCTATGATCTTTTCAGAAGCAAGGCTGGTTAATTAGGTGGATGGGGCTGTTTGGGGTCAAAAACAAGGCATGATTATAATGTAGTGCAACTAATTTTC